ACATACGGCATGAAATCTTTAGCTATTTTTATTCTGTTACGCCAAAGAAGTATAACTTCTTACGTGCGTACATAAGTATACACACACACGTTTTTTTATGAATATTTCGAAATATTTTTATATAGAGCCGTTTTAATCATCTTTTAAAAGTTATCTATCTGTCAATTATAACCTGAATGAGTTTAAAAGTGAAATATTTGAACTATTTTCTTTAAACAAAATGTCGTATTTAATTTGTTCATGTAATATTTTTTCGACTCCAAAAAACTTTATTTTATTTGTAAAGATTTTATTAATAGCAATACACATAAGTTATTCAATTTTTTTTTATGGCAACCCCAATTTTTTTTTATTGTAACATATGTGTCATTTCTCTTTTCTTCCAAATTATTGTATAATTTTGTGGGTAGATACCATTTAGTTATCACAACTAGAATTTTTGAGACGTCTAAAACCTTAGTCTCTCCAGTGACCATGTGTAAAGCATTCAATTATCCCATTCGAGTTCGAGAATCCAAAATCAAAAAGACACTACAAAAAATAAAAATAAAAAAATAATAGGAGGTATTCGATAATACATAAAAATTATACTCAATACGGCATGTTTCTTTTGATTATTTTAAGCGATATCAAAGCTTTATCTGATTTTAATGATTGTTTTAATTAGAAGAAAAAAAAGTCTACTTACTACCTTAAGGCGGAATATTTTTTATAAAGTTTTTGAAGTTTTTAGCCATTTTTAGTAAAAAGAATATTATATCTTATAAATAACTTTTATTTGATGATTAAAAAGAGTTTTTAATATTCATTTTCATTGTCTCACTTAAATGCTATAACACACATTTTGTTTCAGAATAAGTTTAAAATTTCAAACTGACTTTCTACCGTCGCTAATAAAAAGGAGCTAATTCATAGTAAACGGTTTTGCTCGCGTTATAAGATCAGGGATCAAAAGTTGCCTATGTCCATCCCTAGGATGCAATCTATGTCTTTACCAAATTTTATCGAAATGTGTTCAGCGGTTTAAGCGTGAAAAGGTAAAAGACAGTAACTTACTTTCACGCTTAAAGAATTAAAGTATGGACTAGCGACTTATCTCACTTTGCTTGGGTGTCAAAGATACACCTCAACCGCTGAACAGATTTCGATAAAATTTGGCATGAACATAGATTTAATCCTGGATACGGATATAGTCTACCCTTAAACCCCACCCCGCGTATCACACGACCGAAACCACGGGAGAAAACTAGTTATCTATATTTTTATTTTCTATATAAATAAAAGTGAAATACTGTCTGTTGGTAAGCGCGTCACTTTAGAATAGTAGAACTGATATGCCTAATTTCTTTTATGAAAAAGTCTATGAAGTTGGAATTAAAAAAACACGGTTAATTAAGAAGTTTGAGAAATACTAAACGAGTTTGATACGATTTTTGAATTATCTTAGAGCCAATGTATGTCGGGTCCGATAGTAAAATATATAAGTTACACTCTTCCTTTTAGATTTACGCGAATATTTGACATTTTAAATAAAACTATCTTTTCAGATTTTTTCGCGTATTTATTTTGATTTTCCATACACAGACGGACGAACCTAGTATGGCCTGTAACAACCTATATAATGACCTTTGAGACGTGTAAAACTTTAGTCTCTCCCGTGACCATGATTGCTATAAAACATTCGAAACGTCGGGAATAAAAAATCATAATAAATCCGCAAAAAAGTCCGAAAAAATAAATTTATGTAAATAAGACTATTTAAAAACATGGGGAATTTTTACTTTTGCTTCCATTTTCTTTTAATATTAATAATTTTTATTTGCGTTAATTAGAATTCCCTAGCGGTTGTTTTTGGATCTAACGACAGCAATTCACAATCCTTCACAATAATAGTTCTGATCACTTTAACATCTTTAAAACTCCTTTTTTATACATTATCTTTATATATATAATTCTTCTGTGAGTGTGTATGTCACTGAACTTCTCTCAAACGACTGGACCGATTTTGATGAAATTTTTTGTGTGTGTTCAAGGGGATCTGGGAATGGTTTAGATTCACAATTTGAATAATAATTTTCATCAAAAAAATTATTAAAAAAAGTTTGAAATTTTCAAATTAAAGACGTGTAGACAGGACAACGTCTGTCGGGTCCGCTAGTAATTTAATATACTTCAATGATCGATCCCTTACCGATCAACCTCCTTCGTGTCTTCTCTGGGAATCCGATAATCGCTTAATAATTTATTTGTTCTTTTAAAAGATATAATGAATCTAGCTCCTTTAAAGTTAAAGCCGACGGTATCTTCGAATAAATTTTCAATTTTGTACCACACTCAAATAGTGAGTTAGTTCAATATAATATTGCACTCAAAAATTTTAACTCTTTACATTTTCAATAGAAAAGGCCTCAGACCTAAGAATTAGCGAAAGAAAACTGTAGATTGCCTAAATATATCAATATCTTTCTAAAATAGCCGAAGGTAATATAATTTTGAGTGTAATATAATATTATATGTATTTTCTTAATATTAATTAATATTTTGGCATTTATCTATTATAAAAAATTGATTATTTATAAAAAAACTGTCTAGATATAAAATATAGATAAGTAATAAAGGAATGGCACATTATAAAAATAAATAACGTACACTAAAAACTTTTTATACATTTTTTTTTATTTTATGATGTGCAGTTCGCAAATCACCGTTCCAAACTCAAATAATTTACTACCATAGACGAAAAAGTGGAAAGAAGATGTGGCTTGCACTATTGCTGCTTTTTGTTGGAAATTCCGAAGCGTTGAGCACTTTTGGCGTTTCAAACACAAGACCACCACATCATGTGATTACGACGTCTACATCTGCACCGGGTAATTTTTTATATAATAGGGCATTTGTGTTTAATTTGCATGTCGGTGTGTAGTCTAGATTAGACAATGTTGCCAAATTAGATGTTTTATGTTTAAAAAAAAAGTTTGTTTTTCTAAATTGACATTTATCTGATTGATGTTTTTTTAATTAATATAATTATTTAAAAAATATTATATAAAATAATTTAATTAATACATTTATAATATACATACATAATGTATTATTTATTTTTAAATATAATTATCTGTCCTATTATATAAAAAAGTATCTTCAATACACTCTACAATAATGTACATACTTACACAAAAAGTTATATATCTTTATGAAAAAAGAATTTTTTTCAGAGTAACGAGAATGAGGCAATTATTCCTTATATTTTATCTATATTTTGGATATAAACTGTGCTATTGCGCGTTTAATCCAGCTTTTGGGGTTGTCAAAACAGAATCCCCGTTTAAGAAACCTTCTCCTACTCCTCCTACCGGTATTTTTTATTAACAATTAAACCATTTCCTTTTTTATCTTTCTCTTATTATGTCTTCTTTAGTATCTTATTTTAATCCTTATTTTTAACTTTTCATGCCGTATTGGACAAGGCTACTACTGTGTAATATACGTTTGATTGTTTTTTTTAATCAAAATTATAATTTTATTGGCCTGTAAATATGCGATATTTCTAAATTATGTAAATAAAAAGTTTAATTTTAAGAATTGATTATTAGAACAAAAAGTGACATTGGTATGTATTATTGGTTTTAAAATTTTAAAATGCCTGATGGACAATTAATAATAGAAAAACGATTGGTCGAACAAAACACAATACAATAAGAACGTCGAAGTTCAAAAAGCTGACATTCAAAATGGCGCCGACCGCTAAAATGCACAGACACTGCAAACAAAAGACAAAGAACTAATATCATTACAATTATAAACATCCATATAAAGGAGATTTAATTAAGTTTTAAAAATTAAATTAAATCTCTTTATTGCGCCATTCATTACACAGAGTCATAAACATTGAAACTTTAAAACAGAAATTTAAAAAATAACAAGATCACTGAAAATGTGGTATCGAAAGTTAATTGTGATAATATCTATAATAATAATGTTTCATTTAACAAAAACAAACGCATTCGGCATATCGTCGTTTGGAAAAGCGAATACAGAACCTCCTAGGCCACCAACGACCACGCCTTCACCGGGTAAGAAATATTTGAATCGGTGTTTAAAGCTTTTCATAAAAATGGATTGTGTATGGCATATAATACTATAGAACGCTATATAATCTGCACATCACTTTTGAAGTAGCATAACTTAGAAATATTTAATTAATGGTATTCAACTTTGTGAAAGAAATTAGAAAATATTCTCTTTTTTTTAAATAATGATTGATAATTCAAATTTAAAAAAGAAAATTACTATTATACTTATATTTAACATTTCTATAGCTTAAAAAGTTCGGACTCCATTCTCATTTTCTTAATAATAACTTATCATGTAATTCAAATGAATCATAAAATATAATGCCCAAATATAGGTAAAGTAACACGATAATATTTAAACTGTTACACAGCATTTTATATGTCGTAGACGATCACCTTAATACTTGCCACACAACATTCCACGCGTATCAACTACATAATCAGAGCAAGCCAACATCATATTGCCTACATATACATTAATAAGTTATTACATTCACGCTATTTCAACAGGCAAATGTTTTAGAATATAGTGCCAGGATAAATATATTTTCCTTATTTAAGTATGCGAAAATATTCGTAGGAAGTCATCTATAAAAATTGACACAATAACTTACCAGACTACACAAAACAGAACATACTCCAAACAGACTATTAACAAAATCCACGCCACATCTTGATCCGTATTTGAATTTGGATTGGTGAAACGTTAGATAGGTCTTAGGTTTTCCCAATAAGAAAAAAACAAATTTTCAAAATTGGCACCTCACTTAAAAGTTACCTAGCATTCTAAAGTAACACTTGTTTTCTACCAGAAAGATTCAGAGCCACAATTTATCTTAGCCAAACGAAAAAAAAAGAGTGAGCTGTCAAGTGTCAAATTAAAAATAAAGCTAGGGCTACACTATGCATGTTTTTTCGCGGGTCGAGATGTGGTGTCGGCGACAAGCGGCGGCGGCCATTTTGCCGTTACTCCTTACTGGTTGGTTAACGGGCGAGTCGTCTGAAGCACTTACGACGTTTGGGAAAAGTAATACTACGCCAAAGGAAGTCGTACCGACTGCGCCGCCAGGTAAGAATCATGGGGACTGTATTAAAAAAAATAAAGCTACGATAGGATTTCTTCAATCTCCTGTATTTTTAAAATAACACAAGAATAATGACTATAACATCCACATTCCACACCATGCAATATCAGCATTATAACTCAGAATAACAGTGATTTCTAATTTGTCCTCCTAAATAACTTGATTTTGATGATATTCGCGAATAAAATAAAAAAAATGTATGAGAGTGACATATGTCAATTCATCTCATTTTAATACATTTTTTTATTTTTAATAGCGATGGATTTTAGATTGTCATGAAATAAGTACATAAGAAATTAATTTCTTTTAAAATCATAAGATGCATATTACAAACTAAAGACTATGCCTACTGTCTTTTGGCAGGCTGTATACATTTTTACCATTGTCATAGCAAAACAAAAATTATCTACTGTTTATTAGTTTCTAACTTTAAGACACAATTTAGTTCAGTTAAATTTTAACTACTGATTTTAACAAGAGAATTTAAAAATTCTCCATTTTACTTAGAATTCTCATTTAAACCCACTTTCAGCTTAAAACATAAATTTTCAAAATCATTTTTTTTAATGCAGTCCATGAGATATGTTATCTATATAGCCTGATCATTTCATACTTACAGATTTGTAAATTTCGCACCTTAGAACAAAAAAATACACTTTTAATGTAGAAATCAAAGGTAAGTACCTACTTTTTTATATAATATTTAGAATAATAAGGCACTAATGACGATTTTCTATTATGTATTATGAATTTTGATCTTCTTTTATAATTTATAACTACTATTATAAATATTATATGCATAATATAACTATTTTTTATATTTTATCAATTAAAATATTTTTTTACCATATTATCAAAATTTAGCACCATTTCTTTTAAAATAAGATTCTTTGCTTACTAAAAATAATCAAAACTTATCTACAAAATTTTGTTTTACACAATTGCTATCAAAAAAAATGTATAACGTTCATATAATTCGATTCAAGACAGTGGAGGTCCCACGTTCATATCCACGAGATTCGCTTCTTTTAAGAAGTCAATTTGCTATTAAAAATAACATTTAGACGTGACAAAACGCTGAGATTTACATATTATAATACTTTTTACGACGTTTAGCTCAGTTTGTAGTTACCCTACTTGTTGTACCAGTGGTCGTGGGCTCGAATCCCGCTGGGGATATTTATTTGTGTGCTGAGCACGAATGTTTATACTCCAGTCATGGATATTTATAATATGTATGTAGTTAAAGTTATATATGTGTAGTGCATCAACTCTGGTATCCATAACACAAGCCTCGTAGCTTACCATGGAACTAGATGGTGCTGTGTGTTAATGTACCAACATATTTATTAGGTATACATTTTTTTATTCTTCTATTAGCGATAACGATTATGGCATTACATGTTATTTAAGGTACAGGCCCTGTATATTGTATTTCGTAATCTCGTTTTCGTATAGGTATTTAAATAATAATTTATACGATAGGTTTTGACATGCAAATTAAAACGAATTTTCCTTAAGATTTAATTTAGTATTGACTAATATTTACCTGGTGGTCCAGAGAAAATAAAAAATTGTTTAATTATAGCATTTAAAACTAACACTAAACCGGGTATTACGGGTCTGATAGAACATAGCAAGTTGTAGAAAGATATATGTGAAGTCCGTCTAGCGTTATGCTTAGTCTTTAGAAATATGAAGATAGAAATCTCTTTGGGCATAGGGTATCTTACGAGTTTATCCTAAACATCCTGGTCCTGGAGGGCCGCGAGGTGTTATGATACAAAGAGGCGGTCGCCTTAGGAGGCACAAAATAGGGGCCAGTGTATTTGGTGCCATAAATACTCCAGACTCCATTTTTTCAGAAGGAGAACCCCTTTTTATTGTAATTTGACAGAATTGTCTAGCATTTGATATAATATACCTACATGTATTTGAGCAATGTACTTCCAATAGTTTTTGAGTATCTTATGGACGAACGGACGGACGGACAAGTTAAAAGGATTTCGTTTTTGCTTTGCTTTGCGGAACCCTAAAGAAAATTAGCTAGGGGCGGCATTCCCAAATCTTGCATCAAACTGAGAAAATTTACTACATATGTGGTCCTGGATTCTGAGCTAGAGTGTATACTTCATATTTTTATCCATATATCTTTTACGTAAGCGTATTTGGCGTGCAAAGCAAATAAAAGTAGATATATATAGATAGCTATTATTTTCAAATTATGACAAGACAGACAAATTGATTAATGATCAGGAATAACAGTCGATCAATCTTGTATTAATGCCAAATTAACTTCGACATGCAATGTGGTGAATACTTTATTAATTTTGGATTCAGGTTATAAAGTTTAATTTGACGTGTGAATAATATATCACCTCCAGGTAAATTTCTAAGAAATTAATTAAATTTTTAAGAAATCTATTGTTAACTATAACGCCGGCGTGTCCGCGGTCGTGGAGGGATTAAATTACTAGCGGCTCACCCTCGCTTCGCTCGGGTTCGCCTGTAGACAAATAAAAACAAATCTATCCCACGGGAATCGTACATTTTTCCGGGATAAAAAGTAGCCTATTTGTTATTCTGATGTATGAACTATATTATGGTAAGGTTTCATTAAAATCCAATCAGTAGTTTTTGTGTACTAAACTGTATAAGTTTTTTCACTATCCCACGGGAACTCTTTAATTTTCCGGGATGAAAAGTAACTCTTTAATTTTCAGGGAATATAATTTCATTTAAATCGGTCCAGCAGTTTCGTAGATTAGCCCGTACAAACAGACAAATAGACAGAGAAACAAAAAAAAATCTGGATTTGTTCTATCTCTCTTCTAACTATACAGTAGGTATAGATATTCTCAACATAAACTAAAGAATTACATAAATAGATTATTATTAACGGGTCCGCCAAAATAAATGTCAAAGCCAAAAATAGTAGCGTGATTGAAATTTTTATATATTTTAAATATGAAATTTTTATGTGTATTAGTAGTAGTTAATATACAATTTTTGAGAATAAAATATGATTAATAAAAATATTTTTATGAAGATACATATTTTTTAAGCATCAGTTCTTTTTTAAAAGTTAAGAAAAGTTAAAATTTCATCCTTGTTAACGATATTTGTCTTTATCGTTTAAGCCGTAGTCAAAATAATAAAAATCGGTTAAGTGCGAGTCGGACTCGCACACGAAGGGTTCCGCAGCGTCGTACAAGATATAAAACGATGTACTACCAATCCATTTTTTTTCATTTGCATGGCGGCCATTTTGAAATTCGCCATCTTAGTTTTTTATTATTATTTGTTATAGCGGCAATAGAAATATATACTCTATGAAAATTTAAACTCTCTACCTATTATCGTTTATAAGATACAGCCCCTGACAGATGGACGGCGTAGGCTTAGTTATATAGTTCTGTTGGCAACCTTCGAGTACGGAACCCTAAAATACAAAAATAAATTAAAACAAAAGCTTATAGAATCTGCTCGTTCTTTGAATTTGGTTCAACCGTCACATTGCGTAAGGCAATGCGTATATTTCTTGCATAAATTAAATATGGATCAATAAGAGTTCAGGTCCTAAAACATGACCTTATATGGAAATTGTAGCAAAACAAGTATTTTAAGATTTATAACAACTGATAAATCTTTTATTGGTGCCGGATCTGACTGTACTGCTACTTACGGATAACATAACATAATCAATTCGGTTTTAAAAAAAACTTCTATCTCTTCTTCTACCTTCTTCTATCGTGAGGACTGGTTCGATGATAAATGAACGTTTCGAAATGTTTTTAATAATCTATACAATATACATTGTATTCAGCCCTTTTTTTTAACGTCCCACTGTTGGGCACGAGTTTCTCTTCAATACAAGAGGGATCAGGCCATAGTCCACCACGCTGGCCAAGTACGGGTTGGCGGACTTCACATGTCTTTTGAAAACTTCGCATATGACTATATATATATATATATATATATATATATATATATATATATATATATATATATATATATATATATATATATATATATATGAATTCCAATTTCACAAAAAATGTTCAGCCGTTACAGTCCGGATCAAACACAAACACAAACTTTAATATTTATAAGAACGCTTAACATTTAGTATATTTTCTCAGAGATGAGATGTTTTCCCGCAGTAAAAAGTATCCTATATGTCGACCGGGATAACCAGCTAACGTCGTACCAAATTTCATCAAAATCGGTCCAGTGGTTTTCTCGTGACGCGGTCCCAGACAGACAGTCAAAAATTCTAAAAACTATAGATTGGGCCTTTGTATCGATAATATTAACTATTTCAATAAGATTTTCCAAAAAGTATGTACAGATTAGAATCAGAATTTTATAATATGTATAGATGTTATATGTTCATATGTACCAACCACAAATATATTATTTGATGTGGTAAAACAGAACGGTGCGTGAGTCCGATTCGTACGTATTTTAACATAATTTTGCTTAGGGTTTTGGTTTATGGTATCAGATATAACAAATATCTGTAATAATAATCACGAAATCTAAAAATATACGCCGTTAACTTTCCAATTTAAATTATATACTTAGATATTTATTATCTTTCAAATGTTAAGGTTTTTTTGACTTAAAAATAGATTGCTTTTAGAATCTTTCAATCGAATCTTAAAGGTTAGCATATATAATAAATATGTTGGTACATTAACACACAGCACCATCTAGTTCTATGGTAAACTACGAAGCTTGTGTTATGGATACCGGATAGTTGATACACTACACATATAACTTTAAATACATCATATTATAAATATAAACAGTCATGACTGGAGTACAAACATTCGTGCATGTTAAAAAGTATCCTGTGTGTTGACCCGGATACCGAGCTTGACTTTGGATTAGGGATTGCCCCAGCTATGATCCTACCAAATTTCATCAAAATCTGTCTAGTGGTTTTCTCGTGATGCGTTCCCAGACAGCCTCTGAATAG